CAGTTGACTACATGGGAGTTCAGCAACATAGCCATTACGCCAACTGTTGGTCCCTGCTTTTCTCATTTTTATCAAATATTTTAAACAAAAGCTTTTTCCTCTAAATCATATGTCAGAATAAGTTCATTTTAAACTTGAAACTGATGGTTTTTTTGTTTTTTTAATGATTTAACAGGTTGGAATTCGAGGTACCAATATAGTTGTGCTTGGGGTAGAAAAAAAATCTGTTGCAAAGCTTCAAGATGAAAGAACTGTGAGGAAAATTTGTGCACTTGACGACCACGTCTGCATGGCTTTTGCAGGTATGTATAGACTGCAGATAATGATTCATCGGATCTTAGTTTGCTCATGCTACAGAGTTGACCCTGTTACTGCTGTTGTGCTGTGTTTATGCAGGCATACCTCTAAGATAGTACAGGTTCAGTTCCAGATCACCACAAAAAAGTGAATATCACAATAAAGCTAGTCATGATTTTTTTGGTTTTTCAGTTCATAGAAAAGTTACATTTATTCTATGCTAAAGTCTATTAAGTACATAATAGCAATGTATTTAAAAAACAGTATATAGACATTCTATTTGGATCATCTATCCAGACCACTGAAATTTTCTCCATACCAGCAGTAAGGCTATTTTACGTTTTCATCATTTGTGTGTTCACTTGAGTAGCTGGGTTTTTTATATATAATTTTTTTTTTGTAGAGGTTTTTGCTATAGGGCACTTGCGCTCGCCAGAAAGACAGAGAGAGACAGAGAGAGACAGAAAGTGAGAAATCACCCCCCAGGGGGGATGGCCACACCGCAATCCCTTCTCCTCCATTCTCCTCTCGGGATCTTGGGCACGCACACACAGGCGTCCGGCGTGAGTTTTAAGCCACCGGGTCCGGGACGCGAACCACAGTTGACTACATGGGAGTCCAGCGACATAGCCATTACACTAACTGGTGGTCCCTATAATTTTTGATTGACATATAATAGTTGTACATATTTATGGGGCACAGTGTGGTTTTTCAATACTTGTATACAGTGTATACAGATCAGGGCAATAAGCATATCTACAATCACAAACATTTAGCATTACTTGTGTTATGAACATTCAAAATCCTCTCTTCCAGTGATTATGAAATATGCATTGAGATGTCACCAACTGTGCAGTAGTATTTTTAAAAATTTTCCTCAAGGCTTGGGGCTGGCAAGGTGGCATGGTGGTTAAGGATGCTGGACTCCCACATGGCTGACCTCGTTTCGAGTCTTAGACCTGGTCTCTTGCTTTTTCACTTTCCCTCTCTCTCTTTCTCTCACTCTGTCGCTCTCTGGTCAAATTGAAAATAAATAAATAAAGTTAAAAAGTTTCCTCAAGGGACTAGCAGATAGTGGAATGCTTACATTGCTAGACTCCCATGTAGCCAACTGCAGTTTGAATTCTGGACCCAGCATCTTAAAAATCATTGCCAGGCACGTGTGTGTGTGTGTATGTGTGTGCCCAAAATCCTGAGAGGAGAATGGAGGAAAAGGGATTGCAGTATGGCTATACCCTCTAGGGGGTGATTTCTCACTTTCTGTGTCTCTGTCTTTCTCTGTCTCTCTGGCAAGCATACATCCCCTATAGCAGAAATCGCTCTTAAATTTTTTTTTTCCTCAAGTACTTTTCCTTTGTATTCACAACTTCTCTGTTTGGCACAAGAGGCTTTGCTTTCAGCCTTTCTAGGCTTTCAGCATGTCTTCTTCAGTCTTCTTAGTCATTTTTAGCTTTTCCCCCTTTCACTTAAACATAAAGTTTTGGCTATCTTTATAGGACTGACTGCTGACGCTAGAGTCGTGATAAACAGAGCCCGTGTGGAGTGCCAGAGCCACAAACTCACAGTTGAGGATCCAGTCACTGTAGAATATATAACTCGCTTCATAGCTACTTTAAAGCAGGTAAGCTCATATTCTAATAGATTCCTTCATGTTTTCTCGTTTTCCATCATGATGGGTCCTATCACAGAAATACTAATTACTCCAACCATTTAGTCTATTAAATCTATTAAATTCCTTACTCTTTCTCGTACATACTTTATAGTCATATGGTTATTTCAGTAGAGTGGACTGATAAAATCACTGGAAGTCTGTATCAATATTAATGTTGGGAATTGTATTACAATTTTAAATAATAAGTCTAATAATTTTAAAAGAGTTCTGGAGATGCCATAAAATTCTTTAAAGTTTTCCACAGAACGTCTGTCATTTTTTTCATCTACAAACCTAAATAAACAAAACTGATCAGGTTTAGATGTGATTTCTTCTGAAACCATTAAGCAAACAAAAACAAAGCTGCAAAGTAGAAGTTATAAAGAAATGGAATTTATTGTTCTCACAAACCTAGTACAAAATAAGGATCAGACCTGGGATGTGCAGTCAGACCCACCAGCAGCAGGGCTAGATGAAAGTTTGACAGACAAGTCTACTGGCTCTGAGAAAGCAAGGTTCTTTTAAACTAAAAATGAAATGGGCCCGTCCCATAGTTCACCTACTGGTTAAGGAAGCTGGAACCCACATGGCTAACTATGGTTTGTATCCTAGCCCTGGCAGCTTGAAAAACACACCAGAAGTGTCTGTCTACATGCCTAAAATTTCAAAAGGATGGAGAAATGGAGAAAGGATGCAACTACGCCTCATATGGGTGCTTTCTCCCTCTTCTCTAAGTCTTTCTATCTTTCTCTGGAAATCACCCTCTGGCTATTGAAAAGAATACTTTAAAAAAATTAAAAAGAGGTGTGATAAGTGTAATTTGGTTATAAAGAGTTCACATTGGTCAAACCTTAACAAAGGAGGGTCTTAAAGAGATGGGGAGAGGGGCAAGATTGCCTTACGACTGAAAAACATTTTTTCTCGGGTTTTTCAGTAGAGATAACTTAGTATACAGTGAACAGAATATACCCGGTAATAATAGTAACTAGTAAAATTATTTGATAATTATAGTAAAAATTATAGCATCCCTCAAGGTAAACCAAGAGCTCCCTTTCAAAGCACAGCTCATTGAAATCAGCTTTACTGAGAACCAAAATGTTATTGCATAAATACACAGTTCTCTGCTATATTGAAGAGATTATAATTTAGTTATGTTACTAAAATGGACACAAAGCAACAAGAAGAGTTTTTTAATTAATTTATTTCTTCCACGAGTGAGATAAACATACAGCATGCCATCAGGGTCTCAGTTGTATGATCTATCCCCAGTTTTAACCATCCTTGTAAAATGAGCACAGTAATACTTGGAGTACTCAGGCTGTCTGGACATGAACCTGGACCCTTCCCATGTGGGGCAACCTGGCAGAGAATTGTGTTTTACTACTTTGCCACCATTCAGCCCCTAAGAAAACAAATTTAATAATATAATAAGTAGTTTGTATTTTTAGTTTATATATTGTGCTCTAATTTCTTAAAAATATTATCATAAATTGAATTTAATCCAGGAAGGATCTCAACATACATAGAATAAGAATTAGAGCCAGCAGGTGGCATGGAGGTCAAGGCCACTGGATTCCCATATGGCCGACCATGGTTCAAGTCCCGAACCTGGTGGCTTGCTCTCTCACTTTCTCCCTCTCTCGCTCTGTCCCTCTCTGGTCAAATTAAAATATAGGGAACCAGCAGTTAGCGTAGTGGCTATGTCACTGGACTCCCACGTAGTCGACCGCGGTTCGTGTCCCGGACCCGGTGGCTTGAAACTCACGCCGGGCACGTGTGCGTGCGTGCCCAAGATCCCGAGAGGAGAATGGAGGAGAAGGGATTGCGGCATGACCATCCCCCCTGGGGGGTGATTTCTCGCTTTCTGTCTCTATGTCTCTCTCTGTCTGTCTGGCGAGCGCACGCGCCCTACAGTGAAAATCTCTCCAAAAAAAAGAATTAGAAAAGTGGGTTATTTGGGCAGCAATGTTTTACTCTGATTTTTATTTGCTAAGTAAGGTATTATCCTAAAAATACATTTTGTTTTTCAGAAATATACCCAGAGCAACGGACGAAGACCTTTTGGTATTTCTGCCTTAATTGTAGGCTTTGATGATGATGGAATTCCAAGATTATATCAGACAGATCCCTCTGGTACTTACCATGCTTGGAAAGTGAGTCATGAATTTGTTGATCTTTTTTTTTTAGATGAGTAAATGTATTCATTGTATATGCTCTCAGAGATGACAAAATTTTGTTTCATTAAAATATTGATGGTGGCACACATTTATGAATGTAACCATTTAGCTAGTCAGAAATTATAATGATTTTGAATAGATAGAGATGAATCTAGGTTTATTAATAACAGCTTCTTTTCCTTACTGTTGAAAAGATATAACAAATCTAAGTGTTTATAAATAGACAAATAAGAGAAACATCTTCATTCTTCCAAATTAGTTTTCCATCATATGAATGCTTCTTGCATTAAGTAGAAATAGTCTTTCTACTTTTAATAAAGAATTATGGGGCCAGCTGTGGCCTGGTGGTTATCTGGCTGGGTCCCCCATGATAGATATTTCTCTGGTCCCATTGTATAATAATTTTATTTCCACTGATAATTAGAATAAATCATACCGTCCACACAGTAACCCTCTTTCTTTGGTTGTTGGTTCAATGGCATGAGAAGTCTAAAATGGCCAACTGGCAGTCTCAGTGTCTAGTTCAATGAAATTATTATACTCCCAGTAGAAACATCACCTCCCCCATCTCCCGGGAGCAAGAATCTTTAAATTAATACAATCAAGGAGGACAGGGAAAAAAACATTTTACAAGTGGACTATTAGCGGTATTAATGAGATACATGTGTCTACTCCTTGATTCCTAGACTTGTGACTCTTGGAGAAGTTAATTACTGGCTTATGGTTCAGGGTGCTTAGGTATCTTGGAAAACAGAATTTTTGACCCATAAGATGTCATCACCCTGTTTTCTGCTGCAGCTGAATCTTCAGCAGACTATTTCACATTTCTGTGAGGCTATGGCCCAGAGCAATAGAGAACAAAAGACCAGTGAATCCCATGAACATCAACTAATTTTCCCACTTCCTCACATTCAGTTTCTTGCTCAGGAGCAGTGTTTTGTGGGATATCATAATAGTGAAAAAAATCACTCAGTAAGTCCACAGATAGGGCACCTAATAGAAGTATTTTACACAGGTAAGAGAAACTTTTATTCTTTTATTTTATTTAAGAGATTTTTCTTTTTTTTTTTTTGCCTTAGGTCTCCATAGAAAGAGAAACACAGACAGTAGAGGGAAAGTGAGAAATCAGCCCCCAGGGGGGTAGCCATGCTGCAATCTCTTTTACTCATTCTCCTCCCCAGATCTTGAGCATACACACACATGGGCCTGGTGTTAAGCCACCGGGTCCAGGACCCAAACTACGGTTGTCCATGTGGGAGTTCAGTGACATAACCTCTACATCATCTGCTGGCCCAGAAAAACTTGTATTCTGAGTAAGTTTCTCTTCTAATGAGGGCAAGCTGCCTTCCAAGACAGAAGAGTCCAGCAAAATTAGTCAGCCTTGTTGACAGGTTGCCATAAAGCTCAGGCAGTATGTGGATCAACTGCAGTGAGGAAACACTCATTTTTTTCTTATATATTTTCATATTAAAGAAAGTATTTTAAAATGCTTACCGGTGGGGACAGCAGGTGGCATGGTTGTTAAGGGATCTAGACTCCCACATGGCTGACTGTGGTTCTGGTCCCAGACCTGGTGGCTTGCTTTCTCACTTTCTCTCTCTCTTTAGTCAAATTTAAATAAATAAAGTTAAATAAAATAATTCTTTAAAAAATGTTTATTGGTAAGAAATTTGTATGTATTTATGGTAAATGTAATATTATTTGTGTATACATTGTGGAATGATTGAATTAAGCTAATCAACATATCCATCACCTCACATACTTATATTTTGTGTTGAGAACGTTTAAAATCTACTCTTTTTATTATTATTTTTTTAATTTTATTCATTCATTCATTCATTTCAATTTGACTAGAGAGAGACAGAGAGAAAGTGAGAAAGCAAGCCACCAGGTCCGGGACTCGAACTGTGGTTGGCCATGTGAGTTTGTCCAGTGCCTTACTTACCATGCCACCTGCTCATCCCTAAAATCTACTCTCTTCAGCAATATACAAACATACAATACATTAACTATAGTTACCATGCTGTACAATAGATCTCATAATTTATTTATCATAAGTGACATGTTATACCCTTTAACCAATGATTCCCCATTCCCTTCCCTTTTCTCAGCCACTGGTAACCATAATTCTTCTCTTTGCCTCTGTGAGCTCGGGTTTTTTTAGATTCCACATGTAAGATCGCACAGTATGTCCTTTTTTTTTTTTCTGTTTTTTGGAGAGGTTTATAATTTATTTATCATAAGTGACATGTTATACCCTTTAACCAATGATTCCCCATTCCCTTCCCTTTTCTCAGCCACTGGTAACCATAATTCTTCTCTTTGCCTCTGTGAGCTCGGGTTTTTTTAGATTCCACATGTAAGATCGCACAGTATGTCCTTTTTTTTTTTTCTGTTTTTTGGAGAGGTTTTTGCTATAAGGCATGTGTACTATTGTCATATTATATATTTATATTGTCTTTCCCTCCCCTCTATTATTTTGTAGAAGTGGAGATTTCCATATGTTGTGTTCACCTCTATATACCCAGAATTGAGAAGAGTACTTAACTGTTTTTGAAGCCACTGGGTCTGGGACTTGAACCACGATTGGTTATGTGGGAGTCTAGTGATGGAACCACTGTGTCATCTGCTGGCTCCAAAAGTTGTGAAATTTTTAAACAGTTCATCAGACAGAGAGAGACAGAGAGATAAAAAGCAAGAAATCACCCCCCAAGGGGGATGGCACGCCGCAATCCCTTCTCCTCCATTCTCTTCTTGGGACCTTGGGCACGCACGCACACGCGCCCACACAGTATGTCCTTTTGTATTTGACTTAGAAAAAAAATATTCTTTAGTTAGAATAGTAGGTTCTGGAGTTTGGCAAATTACATTAACTGAAAACTCTCCTATAAACACCTACAGCGCTAGAATAATCCTTAACATTTTTTTAAATGCAAAGTCATAATCATAAAGAAAATTCTAAAAGGCCAGAAATGAAGAAGGAATTAACTACCAGAGGATTAAGCCTATGAGCTAATGATACCTCTGCACTTATAGATATTATAGGATTTCCAAAGATAATTCACCATCAAAAGTTGTGCATTTTTTTTAGAGGTTTTTGCCTTTGGGCATGTATACCATCAGAGAGAGACAGACAGATAGTGAGAGGAAAAGTGAGAAATCACCCTCCAGGGGGACGGCCACACAGTAATCCCTTCATTCTCCTCCTGGGATCTTGGGTGCACACACGCCTGGCGTGATTTTGAAGCCACTGGGTCTGGGACTTGAACCATGATTGGTTATGTGGGAGTCTAGTGATGGAATCACTATGTCATCTGCTGGCTCCAAAAGTTGTGAAATTTTTAAAACAGTTCATCATTTAACAAATATTTAGCTTATAAATATTGAATTCTTATTACAGGTTAAATACTGTTCTCGATTCTGGGTATATAGAGGTGAACACAACATATGGAAATCTCCACCTCTACAAAATAATAGAGGGGAAGGAAAGACAATATAAATATATAATATGACAAGGGTCATGTGTGTGTATAACATACAAATGCTGTGAAAGAAAAAGAGAGAACATGGTTAAGTGGGTAGAGAGTGACTGGTGAGTACAGGTGGTCAGGGAAGGCCCCTTTGAAAAGGTGATATTTGAGCAGAGACCTGAAGAAAGCGAAGGGGCAACCCAGGCAGTTAATTGTGAAGGTATTCCGAACAGAAGAAACAAAAAGGGAAGAATCCCAAGGCAGCAGCATGTTCCATAGATCAAGGAGGTTCTTACAGCCAGAGCTACGCTCTGTGCTAGAGCACATGACCACACCACAGCAAGTCAACAAGAAAGATTGTGGGAAGAGATGGAGTAGCTGAGGTAGAAAGAAATGGATTAGATCTGAAGACCATGGAAATAACTCAGGTTATTAAGTAGAGTGATATAGAAAGCCATTTGAGGTTTTTGCATATTGTGTGATAGTAACATGATCTGATTTATATTTTAAAATTATCTCTCTGGTTGCTGTATTGAGAATAGATTGTAGGAAATAAAAGCAGAAAAAAACAGGGAAACAAGTTAGAGGCTGTGTCCAATGATCCAGGCAAGATCTGATTTATACCAGTGAACGGTTGGGAAGGATCTAGCATAGTCTGTGAAGGAGGGGAACCCAGTAAGCAATCCTGGTTCCTAAATGAAAATAACTTTTAAAGAGGCTAATAACTGAGGCAGTGTCACTGCTGGGTCAGATAAGACTGAAATTATTGGAATTGGCAACATGCACGTCATTTGTGACCGTAACAAAAACAGGCTGGATAGAGCAATAGTGATGAAAACCTAATTGGAGGGGATTTAAAAGAGAAAAAGAGAACCAGTATCTTACTGGTTAAGGGAGCTGGATCCCACATGCCCAAGTGCAGTGTGAATTCTGACCCTAGCAGCTTGAAATGCATGTCGGGCATATGTGTATATATGCCTTATGCCACAGGTATAAAAACAATGGTGGATAAAATTGCTGGTACTTCAGTGCCTAACTGTATTAGTACTCATTTTTTTATCATCATGCATTTGCTGTAAATAAATTTGATTTTCCCATCATTGTCTTTGATAAAACAGTAAAAATTATTAATTTTATTAAATCCTGACTCAAGTACATATCTTTTGAACATTCTTTGTGATGAAATGAAAGTCTACATAATGTACATTTGCCGTACATACAGTGGCTGTTCTGAGGAAAAGCAATTTTGCCATCGTTTGTGGTATAGGTACAGTGGCTGTTTTGAGGAAAAGCAATTTTGCCATCGTTTGTGGTGTAAGCTGAAATAGCCCATTTTTATGGACGTTTCTTTTTACTTGGTAGAACGATGGCAGAATAACTATGCTTACTCAGACAAGACATAGCCCTAAGAATGAGTGAACTGAGCCTATTAACTTATGCAAACACCTGGCAGTATTCTTTACCAATGATAACATTCAAGTTTTCAAGCAAAAATTAGTATTTAGG